CCCCCCCCCCCCCCCCCCCCCCCCCCGGCACTTGTTCACTACTTGGTGATTCACGCGGCCTCGTCCGCCCGAGGTGCTGCTTACAATCGGCTGGAACAGGATGTACGAGCCGGAGAACACACTGGAGGCTGCGCTTTGCTGATGGGATTGAGTGAAGCAGTTGCTTGCGACCTTGTGATGTTGAGGCGGTTTTGGTGAACTAGAAACTTGGGTTTAGCTCTCGCAGTTGCGGCCGATAGCCTGGGAGTGTTTGTCGGGATTAGATGAAGGTGTTTCAGGCGTCTTCTTGAAGATGGTAGTGACGGCTGACTGCACATCTTGCCTCCTGCAGACGTCTCGTCCCCACACCTTCTCCCCGGATCCACTTCCTGCAGGGAACCAGCCGACATTGCTTGACTTACAAACGACCAGTAAGCAGAGAAAATCATTGCAATCGCATCACGGCCATGCAGAAGAGAGAGAATTCGGACTCATGGAACGATAAGCGGCAACCTGCAGATGTAGAAAGGATTGCAGCGTGGCAAAGTCGCTGGTGCTTGCCTCAATCGGTCTCTGCATCAGCTTGATCGCTCTTAGTTGCTTGGCAGAAACTGATTTCGAGGGGAGGGGCTCTAAGAGAACAGCATCGTTGGTCGAAAATGATGTTTAGTTGTCATAGAGCACGACAGAGTAAACATCCCATGAACCTCCAGCCGCGTTGTTTTTTACTGGTTGCCATTCGCGCTTTGTTTATTGGATTGTGGCCTTCATGTCTTTATGCTGCGCCTGCTGTTCAGGGAAGACATAGCAGTGTTGAGGCAGGCTTCCACGAGATGGAACCGACAGCTCGAGCCTTGCAAGCGACTGCATCGGCATCCAAGGCTTTTTTGCCTTTTTGCCCGGTCTTCACTGCCTCATGGTCTCGCCGATCATCCGCCAGTTTCATCAGGCCAGTGGCGCAGGAAGGTCGGCTGGTTCCACCAAATTCCTTGAAGGCTACTCGGTTCATCTATCGGGGTGAGCGCGCCCCACGGCTGGTTTACGTGACAGATGGTGGTGTGCAGGACTTCTCGCACGGATTGCTTGAGGTACGAGCATCGGAGCCTTTAGGAACCATTGGTGCTGCCAGGACTGCACAGCGATTGTCCAGCTCATGCGACGCCGCCGTAAACGGATCCTTCTGGTGCCTGGCTCTTCCCTTCTTGTGGAGTTCGCCCTTGACACCATTCGTTGCAACAGCCTGCATCAGGTGCTTGCTGCCGCCGATCCGCACGATGAGCTGGAAGTGCTATGGAGCGCAATGTGTTGTGCCATCGATCAGCAGGCTGCCTGCGCTGCTGAATTTCTCTCTTTCACCTCGGCGGCTTTGGCACCGCAGGTTGGAACCTTCTTCGATCCCTCTGGCAACTATCGTGATGTTCGTGCGGTGATGCAGGCTGTGCCAAGCAGTTTGCGTCGAAGCTGTGAGCTGATGTGAGCTTTGACCTGACAGGAGTTCGGCGACCGGAAGGCGGGCGATGCTGAGTCCAGGAATCGGCGCTCGTAGGGGCCCTTTTGGACTTGGCAGGAGATGCCTTTCTTGCGTCTTGGCATTCGCTATGGCGGCTGGTCTCGTGCAAAGGCAAGCAAGAGCGGAAGTGCGGCTGTGCAGCGCATACCCATACCCAAGTCCCTTCTTCGAGCAGGAAGCTCCTACCTTCTCGTTGCTGGGTGAGCTGCTTGTGGTGAAGAACCGGATGCCTCCCTCCCTTCGGGGGATGCAGGCGGGGGTTTGGGGCGGAAGATGCGACACGTGTGGCACGTCATGGGCAGGCTGGCTCTTTGTTGACGGAGGAAGAGGCCTGCCTTCCCAGTCTCCGCAGGCCGCAACGCCATGGTTTGGGTCAGGTCAAGTCAGGGAAACCGAGCTCGGGCAGAACTTTGGGCTGCAGGCCACCCCTGCTTCTGCCCAGCAGGTGTTTGACTTGAAGAGAAGAACAGGCAAGCCCTGGAAGCCGAAGACCTCGGTGGTTTCTGCTGTTGCGACTGCTGCCACGGCATTGGATGCACCTCGGCAGACCACAGAACCTGGGCTTGTGAGCTGTGCAAGTCGGGTTGGGTCCCTTGTGCTCGGCGGTCGCCGAGGCAACTGCGGGCCAAAGTTCCCGCATCTTTCTGGAGCCAACTACTTATGGCTCACACCGCCAGGCTCTTGGAGGTGACGTCTCTCTGCGAGTCGTAAAGGCTCTCTGCCTGCCTCCGAGGATTCTCTTTGCCAACTTATGCCGGCTCGGGTACGAGGCGGATTTTGCCTGCACGGTCAGGGCAGGTGGAGCTGCATTCGGAAGCCACCGGTCCTCTCTCCGCTGCTGTTGTCAGCTACAGACGCAGTCGAAGCCTCGCACGGTAAACCCAGGGAAGCATGACTCTGCACGCGAGGGCCTCTCGCTCGAGATCTCGAGAGAAGACGTGCCGCTCGCTGGGTGAAGTTGTCCTTTGCACGCAGACGTGCACAATTACGACGACTTTGGGAGATGCCTGCGATCAGCTCATCGCGTCTGGTCATACAGGAACCCTCGTGATGCACGAGGGGGAAGTCGTGGGAGTCATCACGGAGAATGACATCCTGGCCGCCCTGATGGATGGCATTGACCGTGACATTCAACTCGACCTCTGGCTGCGTGGAGGAGAAGCCCGACTCCCGGGATGCATGGTGAACGCTTTGACCATTTACCCAGCAATGAGCCTTTTAAAGGCTGCCGAGAGAATGGCTTGCCAAGCGGAGAAGGACTCAGGCTACGCTTGCCATCACTTGCTCGTCTCCAACGGTTCGCAGCCTCACTTGGTGTCGGATCTTGATGTGGTAGCCTTGTCTGCACTGTCTGCACCTTTTAGCTAGCCTTAGCTTGGCTGCTCCTTCAATCCCTCAGTTTGTGTTCGTGCCATTTGTCGAACGAAGGCCAAAAGCTTGATCAGCAACCTGCCCAAGAGGAGCAGGGCTGCCGTGTTCGTGGAAGTCAAGGAGGCCTTACGGTAAGCCCTTGTGTGCGTTTGTCTCAAGTGTTCGCTCCCCAGAGCATCTCCAGTGTTTGTTGCAGACTCGTGCAGACCGCGCAGGCAATGAAGCCACGCGCAAATGTCGCGACATGCCGGCTCGGTGACAAGCTCATAGATGCGTACCGTATCATGTACGAGTCCAGGCAGAATTGTGTATTGGTGCTGGAAGGGCTCGGCGATGTGGAAGGGGAGAATGTCCTCAATCCTGAGGATGAGGGCAGCCATATTCATGGTGTCATCACGATATCAGATGCGATGCGAACTTTCTCAGAGTGCCAAACTGGCGACAACATACGAGTGCAAGGCTTTCTGAATGGTTTGACTGCAGCTGAACACTTCACAGCTCCCGGAAGAAGCATCCTCGAATCACAGTCCCTTTTGGAAGCTGCAGAGCTCATGAGCGAACTTGGCGTCCATCATTTGATTGTTCTCAGCGCGAGACATGACCAAAAGGAGATTGTAGGCGTTCTTTCCGCGCTGGACATCATCTGTGCCGTGAGTTCACCGAGCTGGCTTCATGGAACAGACGGCGGCGCTTGAAAGACAGAAAGTCTCGCAGGGCCTTCGCATCAGCTTTAGCCGTGAGTACTCTCTCTCCCTCGCTCTGGTGAGGAATTCTCGGAGACAGTGCCACAGATGTGAATACAGAGAGAAACGATTGTACAGATTGTCCAGTTTCCCCAAAACTTGACCGGCTTGCGGTGCAGGGCCACATGTCGTCCTTTTAATTCGGGCTCCTATGCAGCAAGCGCATCCTGAGCACACTGACAGAAGTTGCTCTTCCGTTTCAAGTCCCTGGGCTTTGATATCTGGGGAGAACACAGAACTTTGAGAACAACTCCCAAAGCAGCGACAAGAAGCGAGACCAGCGAGCGCGCATGCTTGTCGAGTTCGCGAGCCTTTTTATGTGTTTTGAATTCCCTTCCGCATGAGCTCTGCTGTGCCACAAGGCCTCTGAAGAGGTGGTTGCTGCACTGGAAGCAGGGCCTCGCACGCTGGCCGGCTCTGTGCACCTTGGGCGCAGTGAGTCATGTACAAACCTTTGATCGCTCTGCTCGGCTGTTGCAAGGTGCTTCCAACAGGAAAGTCCCCAAAGCAGCTCCGCTGAGTTTGTTTCGTTGGTACGGCAAATCTCGAGATGCTCGTGTTCTAAGGTGGTCGGAAGTTCACGAAAGAGTGTTCTGAGTCCTCTACATCTGCACCCATTGCTTTGTAGGCACAGGGCAGGGCCAACACTGTTTCGAGTCTGCCAACTCAGGAAGGCACTCTGCGTGTTTGGCCCATGTCGGTTAATGCACGACCAATACCCCGAAAGGGGGCATTGCCAGAGTGTTTGTGAACGCTAATGTGCATTCAACATCCCGGATGTTTACATTCACTCTCGTGGCGCCCATGTGGGAAAGCTGTACAGCCCACAACTTGAGACAAGACTTTTTGGGGTGTAGTTTCTGCGGCCAAGAGTGCGCGCAAGACCTAACACCACCCTGCCTAGCACGTGAGGAAGCTGATGCGTTTGATCCAGTGATTCCAACCAGAGGCTGCTTTCGGACGGTCATGAAGCCACGCACAGGCGAATGAAAGGAGAGAATCCAGCTCAATATTCAGAGCATGTGAAGTCTTCAGGACAGAGCGTCTCGAAACGCCGTGTGCTTTCGCTACTTCAAGGGCACTTGCCACTTCGAGGCCTGAAAGCCTCGCATCTGCGAGTCCAATTGAGTGCTCCTACGACAGGATTGCAAGTTTATGCACGTCAGCCCGCAGAAGCTGACGAACGAGGAGCGTGCGCAGGCGAGGGGCTGGGGTCGTGGTGGGTTCCCGGTAGTTCTCATGATATCTCTAGAGTGAGGGTCATCGGCGTCAACCCCTGCGTCCTCTACCACAAAGCAGTCACCACATCTCCCCTTCAGCATTTAGGGTGGTATGTTCGCACATGCTGTCATTTTGCGTGTCAAGTGCTGGTGGTAGGGAAGTCACTGAATAAGTGCGCACCCACAGAAAGTTGTGGACCTTCATAGCTAGAATCTGCAGCATGCGCACGACACGTTAGGCAGATTGAGCCTTGGGGGACAGTTGAGGTTCTGTGGGCAAGTGCTAGGGAGTGTAATGAAGGTGCATCATGAGCATCACTCGTGTCTTCCTTCAGCCCTTTTCGCGCTTGCACCCACCACGGAAGAGTCTTGCAGCTGCGCCAGCTGCAGGTGTTGCGCGAGCTTCCTCTCCGAAAGTTCAGCCAGAGCTTTGCCTGGATGGCGTCATGTCATGTGCTGTCTTTAGTGGCTTTAGCGAGTCCGGAATATGGGCACCAGAAGGGAAGGACGGAGAGACGCGCTCACAGCCGAGGAAGCTGGCCGATGTGATCGCAGGCCCGACAATGTACGTTTAACCATCCGAAACCTGCGCCGCGCCATATCCTGAAGTCCTGAAGGCCTGAATATCCCACGCTGCAAAGACTTCCATCAGTGCAGCGCTGAGTCGAAGTGTCAGGGCTTGTTGGCATGATCGCAGTCTCGGTTTGCTGCGGCAGTCAACAGGATACACGCACAAGGGACCAATCTGTTCTCAGTGGCTCGATGCCGACACTGTCTGCAAGGCGCGGTGGATGTAAGCGACCTCCTGGAAGGCCGACTCCACGCTGTCCACGCTTCTGCAGTTTGGCAGTTATGACTCCCAAGCGAGGTGCCACTTTTGGCACTTGACGGATGCAAACGTTGCTCGCTGGGCTGGCTTTAACTTCTGGTGCGAGATATGCTCGAAGGCGCGGCGCAGCCGTGCAGAGAGTCTGGCAGTGGTCGAGACTTGCAGGCTTTCACCTCAAAGGAACAGATGCTAGAGCCGTGCCCTCAGCCCTACAGGAGATCCTCGGGGCGTTCAGGGGCCCTTCTATCGAAGCTCCGAAGTTGCAGAAGACCCGAGACTTCGCCAGGCCCGCGGAGACGGCCTCCGAAACAGGCATCGCCCCATGGAATCCCAAAGAGAAAAACAGGTCCTTCCTCGTGGCTTCAACTTACAGCTGCCCTGTTCCCAAGGCAACAAACACGCTGAGCTAATTTCTGCAAACACCAAGTGTCGCGATATCAATGCTGCGAAGTTAACTTCAAGGTGTTGAAACCGTAGGCGTTCAACATCGTTCAACGCAAGCAGGTGAATCTGAGCAACATGGGAGTGGGCGTCGGTGAGATTCAGCATAGCTTGTATCCCAGCCTGCTTCGAACCCAAGAAATGTGCCTGCAAAAACTGTGTAACCGTGTAACCTCTCTGATCGCGACGACTGTAGTGCTGAACCTGCAAGTCATTGAAGCGTCGACCCCCTGCACTGCACGTTTGGACGTCAATGTGATCCTGAGTCTCCGTCCAGCATTCTACATCATGTCTTCGCTCTTCAAGATCGGGTCTTTGCCATACAGGGGGGCTTTCTCCCTCTGGGCAGGCTCACGCTCACCAGTGCTCACAACCTGCAGGTTCTGGTCATTGAAGAAGCCATGTGGCATGCGGCAAAAGCTGAGCTAAGCATATGCACGTGTGGATGAGCTATCTCGATGTTACTCATAGAGACCCCAGGCTGCCCCAGGCTTTTCAAGGTGTCAGGCCGGTACTGTGGCAAGTATCAACAGCGGTGCAAGGGAAGCTTGGGAGTGAGGCACGAGCAGTCAAAGCCTCACTGCGAGCGAGCCGGCATTACCTTCTCGGGAAGGCTGGGTACGTTTTGTATCTCTGGCCTGCGCCCCTTGTGAAGTTTTTGCGTGAGCACACGAGGCTTGAGCAGAAAAATGCAGGCAGGACAAGCAAATTGCGCTTTCAAGCCGCTTCAGCCCCCTTCTTCCGAGGACCCGCCAAGGCAGCCCCTCGAGCTCGCGGAGGTCGTGGAGACCGTGGCGGTCGTGGAGACCGTGGCGGTCGTGGAGGTCGCGGCCGTGGCTACAGTGGCTACAGCCTGGGATCTCAGCAGAAGTTCGGCGCTTCCCTCCTCCCAGAGCTGTGGACCAAGGTGGGACGCTGGAGTCTGACCGGCCTGCAGCCAGGGGACGAGGTCGAAGTTCTGCAGAAAATCGATGACGGAAAAGTTAAAGTCCCAGCTCACAGTGGCACCAGATCACTCACTGGTTTGCTTCATGAGACGACCCTCTGAGCCTCGTGTTCTGTGTTGCATTTTTCACTCTGCGCGCTCTCCTTTGCCCCCACGGGCGCGCGAGCAAGCATACATTCTTGTGGGTAGGGCCGTGGGGCATAGGGTGGAGCTTCTTCCACATCAGGCTCGGGGAGGCACCGAACAGAACATGCTGTCCCTCTGAGGGAGGGTGCTTTGGTCAGCTGAAAATCGGTGAGCAGGTGAGAATGATACCATACATCGGAATGGTCAACTTTGCAGTGCAGGACAGGATGCCGGCTTTTGAGTGCTTTCGAGTCATCAGCTTACACCCGTCTGGCTAGAGAGGAACATAGAATAAAGAGGTAAGGAGGTACGGCCATGCCGTGTAGAAGCATCGATGCCTCCAAAAGCCGCAGGCTCATTTTTTAGGCATAAAGGCAGCAGACGTACTGGTAAGTTGAAATGGGATGCAGACTGTGTACAGTTACAGCAATACCGCATCTTCCATTTGGTTTTCTCAGGCAAGGACGGCTTTTTCTTCCGGGCTGGTAAGAACTAAAGGTGTCCTTATCAGCAACCGTACTGTCCTTATCAGCAGCCGTACTGTAAGCTCTGGGTGTGGGTGGGTGGGCGGGTGTGATCGAGCTTGTGTGTGTGCATTCGCATGCTCGGTGCTACTCTGGAATTGAATCGGCCCTGGCCGCTCCACCCTTGACACCGCTTGCCCCGCAGTGCTTGCAGTACTGCTATCCTGGCTACGAGACGGCGCGCCTGCTGTTACAGGCCAGGGAGATGGGTGTTCTGTAGTTAGGACCAAGCGGGCGTGCACTTGGTCGAACATCGAAACAGCGTCGAAGGACAAGCCGTCGAGCCACCAACTGACACAGTGGACCTTCTACTGGATGATTTGTGCCAGGTGGGGGACTTTCAGGAGCCTCAGGAGCCTCGTTTGAAAGAAGTATGATCTTCGTGCCAGCTTCCTGCAGCTTGAGAGCACGCTTCTAGCCCTCGTCGTGGAGTACGTGCCGCTGTGCCCTTGTATGCGAAAGACGAGCCAACGCAAAGTTGCAATGCCATGTAGCACGGCTGAGCACGTCGAATCGAAATCTCTTACGATTCAAAACAGGTACCTTGAGTTCAAGACCTTGTGCCTTCTGTGGCTGGTGCATCCCAGCTACAAGGCCTCTTGATCCGAATGCGCGATCCTGACACATCTTCAATGGCATCGTTTCAGGGTGCGCTATGGTTGTGGCACAGCAAGCTGAAGGACGGGTCTTGCCAAAAAGGGGTGCAACCACACGCGAAGGCATGTTTGTCAGCGTGTGTCGTGTCCTGCAGTCAGTATGACATCGATCCGTGCTGGTATGCAGTGAGAGCCACACGAAGCATTGGCATTCCGCAGAGCTGTACGGCCAGCAGGAGCAGCCGTCATGTGTTCACGACAACACGCTGAGTGACACCATGTTACACTCCTTTGGTCAGTCGAACACCGCACAGCCAGCCCCACATGCACAAAGGCATCACAATGGTTCCTGCTGGACGGTGGTCCATTCTCGTCAGAGCAGTGGCACCTGGTGCCCTCCGGCGCTTTCACACGCAAGACTCCGCGCGTTTCGCGGATGCCTTGTGTGAAAGACGAGTTCTCTTCGTATCTGGAAGCAATGCTCGGGGCCGGGCCTCTGTCGCAGCGGCTGCTGCATTGGCGCGTGCATGCAACCAGGGGCCTTCCTTGCTAGTGGACGCTGATGACCCTGTGCACGGCATGGCAGACGTGCTTGGTGAGCAGCTCGTTGGCATGTCAAAGGCACAAACTGTAGCAGAGAGCAGAGAGGGACCACTCAAGTCTTAAGTGACCCTGTCAGCCGCCTGGCCGAGGCATGAGCTCCCAAGCGATGGGCAGAGCTTGCTGTGGCTGGAGTCTCCGGTTCAAAAGGAGCAGGTCCTCTGCCAGGCCTCCATTGCTGCGGCACAGCTGTGTGCCTGGACCACACGCGAGTTTCTGGAGGAACTTCTAGCAGCAAAGCGTTGGCGTGCCCTATTGGAGGATGGCACCGGTGCACGGCTTGTTGCAGCGATGGGCATGCCGATGCAAGAGTTGCTTGGTGTTCTGGATTGTGTCCAGCCACCTCCAGGAGCAGAGATGCCCGTAGCACTGGCCCAGCTCTTGCAAACCTCCAAAGACAAAGAACCGATGGGGGCCGTGGTGGATGCAGGAGCGCCTGCCCTGGCAGTGCAACTGCAAAGTGTGCCTCCCGCTGTGGCCGAAGGTTTGGGAGGAGTTCTCCGTCTCCAGGAGTTGGTGAAAGTTGCTAAGCAAGCTGCGGTACCTTCGGCGGTGTCTTCTGGCCTTCAGATGCTTATCGGGAACTCTGATCGAGAGGATTGGCGGGACCACTTTAAGGCGACGATGGCCGGCCTCCAGCAGCTGCGCCAGGACATGGCTGCGCTCGCCGAGGCCGACACCGGTGTGCTCTTGGTGGTGCATTGGCCTGGGCCAGGCGAGCGCGCTGCCCAAAGAGTCGTGGACCGCCTCAGTCCCGTCTGTGCAGTCCTCATTGGCTTCCCGGATGATGGGACCCCGCTTCTCCCGTGGTTGTCTGGCATTCCAACCGTTTCGCTCCCGGCCATGGAGGACCTTCCGCATGCGCAGACACAGCTAGTGGCTAGCGTGACATGAGGTTAGCTAGGCCGCCGGTAGCACAGTGGGGGTTCAAAGCCGGGATGGCTGCGATGAGTTGTGAACCTTCACCAGCTGTGTGTAGTCCAGCCCGAAAGTCTAAGCTGCTGTGTCCCTTTGAGGAAATATCTCCTGGACTTGGTGGGCTGCGCAAGCTGTCTGAAGCCATGCTGCGCTCGTAGAAAACGGCTGTTATGCTCATAGACCAGGTGAGTCTTGGAATCAGAGAAACTGCGAAAGCTGCGCAGGATGTGCACCACTCGATCGACAAGCAGTTTTACCCAAAGTTCCTGCAGGCACCTCTCCAGTCTCCGTCAGATGTCAAAAGCCCAGGCTCAGCGCATCGGTGGTAGATGCCTTGGGAGTGTTGAAGGTGGTGGGGGCAAGCACTTCGGCTGAGGCGCGTACAAGGCTACTGGGCGAGTCTCCGTGCATCGCCACGTGGTGTCACAGGAGCCCCGCGAGACCCAGCAGCCCATGCCAAATGGCCGCCCCCTTAAAGTCCGGTATCACGGACAGTGAGGGTTAGACAGAGTGCAACCTGACTAGATGTGGGCTGTGTATGTCGAAGTGCGCGGTCTGCACTATCGCCTTGAGATGCGCGAACTTGTGGGAATGTGTCCCAGCCTCCAAGCCCGAGGTGCTGGCAAGACGGATTGATTGCTGTCTTTTCCCTGGGCTTTGTGCTCGGCATGCTTTCCGCACGGTTCGCTTAGCAACGTTATTGTGCCAGCAAGGTCCTTGAAGACGAGCAAGCCTTGCATTGAGCCTTCGAAGTCGAGTTGAAGCCGAGATCCTCGCACCGTCGACCCGGGCTTGGGATCCACTTGCAACACAGGCAAGGGACCTTGGATCGCGCTCTCTGTACAGTGCGTGGAAAGGACAGATGCGTAGTGTCGAGGGTTTTGGCAGCAAGTGTTTATGTGGACGTGCTGTGAAGAAAAAGCGAGCAAGTCCGTTACAATGATGCGCGACATGGCCAGCCGAGCTCGGCCGTAAGTCAGCGTCCGTCAGCGTCTGCGGCCGTGCCTTCGATTGCCTTCGTTTTCCATGGCTGCCGCTTTGGCGTGGGCTTTGGGCAGGCGCGGGCCGGGGGAGTAGGACGGGACTTGGCCCTCCCAGGGGGCGAGGGTCTTGGCCTCAAGCTATCGGGTGTTTGCTCCTCGCATGGGGTTTCATGTGCGGAGCTGAGGCCGCGGCCTTTCTCCCTCTTAGCTCCCGGCGATGAGTGGGAGCCCCGGCACAGGAAAGCTAACGCAAGCACGCAGAACCGGTGCCAAAGGCACAAGCGCGGACACGGGGCAGAAAGGTGGCCCTTCTCCGGATGACGAGTGCCCCCTTTAAATGCTTGGATGGAAGCATGCGGCAGCATCGACAGTTCCTCTCACCGTCATGTCGTGCTGTGTGTTGCGCGACGTCACAATGCTTCGGCACTACTTCTAGGTCGGTGAGACACGAGTAGTCAGAAGCAGCACGAAGAAGCATAATTCAGGGAAGCAGAAAACTCGTTTGCAGGTACCAGGGCCAAATAAGTAGCATTCAGCAGATCTTCGCTGAGTACGACCACAACGGTTCTGGCAAGGTCGGGGAGCCAACAGGCCCAGGGTTGTCTGGTTGCTGACGCCGATGGGGAAGGTCCGAGTCGAGAGAGTTCCGGATTTGATCGTGAATCTGGGACGAGACCTCCAAGTCGGCAGAGAGGCCGGCCTCTGGCACTCCTAGCGGGTTCCTGTTTGCAACCGATCCTGTGGGTGAGGTTGCCCGGCAACTGAGCGGCGGCGAGCTCACACCATCAGCTATCATCAGCTTTGCACAGTTTTCGGGTCTGCACCGAGGTAGCGGTGCAGTGGAGCTCACCACCTTCGAGGAAGTCGTTCAGACCTTGAAGAGAGCAAGCAGCCAAGATGTTGGGGGAACTGCACTTGCAACCGCCCAAAGTGGCCGAGATCCTTGGCTCCAAGGTGGAGGAGAGCCAGGACCGGGAACCAGACAGTGAGACCACCACACCACTCACTTTGTCGCACCCCCAAGCCATGTTCACTTCGTCGCAGTTTCTGAGTGCTGCATGCTTGGCCGAGGCTGAAAAGGCTCAACGCCTACCGGAAACAGTGTGAGTCGAATGGGGAGTGCGCCAGGGGGGGCCATGTAAAGGTGGGTGTGAAGTGACATAGTTCGCTGTCCTAGGAGCTTTGGTTGTCCGCAGTCGTGGTGGCTCAGCGCTCCCTTCTATTTTTCCGGCTGAGTCATACTGACTTTCGACAGCGGTCCTGTGTCGGAACCGTGACAAAGGTGGCCCGTAGACTTAAATGCCGTCGGACCACCATTGCTGTGGCGACCTCGCGAGGTCATGACCTGCTGAGACCTACATGTCAGCAAGGCGTCTGCAGGGCCCCTGGCTCTTCTTGGTCACTGGACATTTCGAAGCGAAGACCTCACCTTATCTTCAAGGCCTCCCGTCCGATCTCAGTCTGCCAAGCTGACGTTGCGGTCCAGCCGTGGTTTCGGAACAAGGCGATTTTCCGGCGGTGCAAGGTGCAAGATATTTGGGACATTGCCTGGCTGTTTGCAGGAGATCTCCAACAGCAGGAGACCTCTCCCGACTCCAGCCACAACCTCCCCCATCCTCTAAACATAAAGCCATAGGATGTGAAACTGGTCAATCGCAGGTCGAAGCGGGGGAACAGCCCTCGGGTGTTGTTGCGTCCAAAGATGATGCGGTTGTGTGCTCAGTCGCTGGAGTATGCCGCTCATGTTTCTCGCTGTTCGTATGGGAATAGAATGGGCAAGAGACACGCTGCCCTCATTGGAGCAAGATGTATTTGTCTGCATGCCGTAAGGTTGAACATGCAGAGCACAATCAAGAGTTGTGCTCGATTTGTCTAGAAGGACTAGCACGCTGGCAGCAAGAGGAAGATGAGCAGCTGCAAGGATTGTGAACTCCGAGCGGGTGTGGTGGTCCATTACTCAGGACGATTGCTGCTTCAGCTACCCGTGTGGCCAGGGGCACAGGCAGCTGGTTCAGCCGCAGTCGTACGAGAACGTTGGTGATCCGTGGATCCCTGCTAGGCTGCACTACCACTGCATGCTCCACTTCCTGGGCAGCATCCTGGCCATTCCTCTGTCGGACGAGACCCCTGGGCCATTGCGAAAGGAGCAAGTCCGTGGCGCTGATGCAGCTAATGTTTGATGGCAGTTGCCGTTCTCATCGTCTTTGCTTCAACCGCTGTCCTGCGAGCTTGCTAGACTTGCTTTCCTTTCACATTCTTATCCTTCTTGCGTTGCCCTGGTACTCAGTATCCCGGCATTCATGAACCTCGTCGGGAGCGTGATGCTGTCTGGGAGTGCTTAGTTGTCTGCTTCAGGTGAGATGGGCACAGGATTCAAAGCTGTCGCCTTGCTGGAAGCAGCGATGCAGAACCTTCATGTCGAGACGCGGCGACGCTTGTGCTGTCCGCTCTGCAGATGCTCATGGCCAGATGAAGCTGAAGTTTCTCTGGAGCAAACCATGGCCTCCCTGCGTCAATGTCGCATAAAAATGCTTGCAAAGAACGTTGGACGTCTTGAGAAGGCGGGGGTCGAATAATACTCCCTAGCTTCTGCTACGTTGCTCGTGGCATCTCGCCAGGCCTTTAATTCCGTGCAGGCGAGCTATGACCAGAGGGTAGAGATTGGGCAGGAGCCTTAAGCTCATTCGTGAGACTTTCGTTGCGGGTGCTCGTGGCTGAGGCGGCACCGGATGGGATCTGGCTTGGCAGCAGCGTGCTCATTTTCGAGCAGGTTCAGGCTGATCAGAGACCAGCTGCCCAGGTCCTCGACAACAACCTGCACACCGCTGAGAGCTACCTGAGCCATCGCGACACGGCGTGCAGCACGGTTCTGCGAATCTTTGAGTTCCTGGATGCGAGACATGCCGCTGGGTCTCACATAGACTGTCACATGGGAGCAAGTTTGCGACGATTGCCCTGTAACTCCGCAGCAGAGTCTGAGAACTATATATAGACTAAGAGAGGGCAGACGGTGGCTGCCACTGGGACTCTACGCCCCTCAGAAAGAGCTGGTAAGACAGCTGGAGGTCACGTCGGTGTCAGCCTGCTGCACAGCAGCGGCACGGCATTGCTGGGTGGAGTGCAAGCTCCGAGCTCCCCATGTGAAAGCAGCAACGGTGCGTTCAGAGACTTGCCTGAAGTCAGAGATGTGACCTGGTGCGAGCCGCATGTCTCTGCCGCTCTGTCGAGGCTACACACCACATCTGGCCACAGACGACCAGGTCGCTGCTGATCGATCCATCGCTGCGAACGGCCGTTCAGAAAGGGACTTCAGGCAGGGAAAGGAGATGGTGTGCACGCTTCACGACTCTGGATACGTAAGACACTATCGGCGGCTGCATGGTGCCTGCATCTGCAAGGCTTAGATGTTGTGTCCTTCTCGAAGTGGCTAGCATGTGCTGCTGGCCTCCTGGAAGTGAACATTCATGCTGCGGGCTGGGAGAAGCTGGACCCCGGGGCGGGCTATCTGTCGAAGAGCCTTCCCATCCAACATCTCCAGATCCTGGACCTGTCTCATAATGGGCTGACTGACCTGGGTGCTCAGAACTTAGCAGTATCTTGGATGCATGCTGATGATAGCATGGGATGGCAAGCAGAGTTTTCAGGTGTAAGAAGAGGCTTCAAGGGGCTCGCCAGCCGGAACGTGAGAGCAAGCCTGAGGCTGCGCTGACGAAGAAGCGCCCTGTACGTTTGGAAGTGCTGACGCTGGAGCTGAACTGCATCACGGAGGCCAGCACAAGCCTTGACTGCCTGCGGTGTCTAAGTCCAAGGAGAGGGTGCGTTTCTCGGTCCTGTAATGATGATGCAGAATGTCATGAATTTTAGTTTTCTCGAGGCCGGCTTTGATTCACTGCTCAGCCTGGGCAAGGACGTTGGCAATCGCATCCGCTGCATGTCGAGCAAGAAAGTTTAACTACTTGCAGAGCTTGCCGAATTGCAAGGTTTATGTCAGGAGACGTCTGCCAAAATGGCTCTGCCATTTTGGACCAAGATCGTGACCTCGGGTCTTAAAGGAAATTTCGCCCGCCCTCCCTTCCCTATGGCTACGCTTGCTAAGCCTCCGGAGGCAATTCCTGACGCC